CACACACACACACACACACACACACACACACAGAGGAAACCCCCTCACAGCATTACCATACAAACACTTCACTTCTCACCCTGGTGCAGAGTTTGACTTCTCTGCCACTTCTACCTACATCATCATACGTAAAGGATTTCGGGGACAGAGGAAGCCTGGCCCATTCCCAAACAAACAAATAAACCATCACTCTCCTGCTGAGCTGTGAGCCGAGCCCCACAGCAGGCAGCCGCTGAATGAAAAGCACCACAGCAGGCAGAGGTGTGATAATGGAAATGGGAAGGGGGCTGAACCATATTGTGTGACTCATAATGGATCTGTGTGAGAGCAGTGGATTCAAGTCCAGACTCTTTTGTTGGCATTAAAGACGGTTAACTGCTATTTTGAGGAAGTTTTAAGCCATTTGTTTTACAAGAACTCTCCACCAGTTTAAGCTCCGCAAATTATTTGGGAATTAGTGAGGACAGGGTAGAAAGATGCTTTTTGGAGAAAAGCCTGTGAGGTCTGAGTGTTTTACATGATGTAAATCAGAATCTTAAATTATTTTACTAGATCATGTATGATTACCAGATGTTATCTAGCTGGAGAATAAGCACATAATTGTGCATGAATCCAAAGCAAAAATTAGATTTTTTGATGTATATTTATCAGATGATAATTTGAGCTAAAGGAGAGTGCAGCATAAAAAACTAGTAAGTTAGTTGACATGCTAGCAGACCAGACACTGAATTGTCCATTCCTGAAAGATTTATTCTTGTGATTTTAGTCTTTGAGAGGAAAATCCTAGTTCTTAAAAGTCATTTTTAAGAACTAGGATTTGTCAATAGTTTGTTTTTTTGTAAGGTTTCAACATTACCCTGAGAAATTTCATCAAGCATCTCTCACCTAAGGAAAGTTCACTTAAAATCCCTAAAAGACAATGACTCGCTTAAGAAATATAGAAACGTCTACAACCGTAGATCAATAATTTGGCATCATAGTTAACTTATATGCTTACTTATTATGTGTCAATCGCTTTAAAACACTTTTGCTGTCTATAGTTCAGTGGGATTAATCATCAACACTAGGAAACATGTCCCTCCTTAGATCAAGCATCTCTGGGTCACTGTCCCATTTTCTTTTTGCAATCGCAGAACCGTCCCAGCTGTTACTTTCTTTATACAGGCCATGCTGAGCTGCAGCTGCGTGAACCTTACCTTCTGTAACCTGCAGAGCCGCTGCCAGCCAGCACAGCAGCATGATAAGACACCATCTAAGAAGACACATCAGACACATAATGAAAGTTGCATTTGGAGAAATTCTGCATAGACTTCAAAAAAAAAAAAGTTAAAACACACTGCAAAAAAGTTCATGACATCGATTTAAAATTCCAGCTGAAAATTAATCTAGCAGTGTATAGAAGAAACAAACAGGTGTGCTCTGAGAAATGCTTTTATAATTTCAATAATAATAATAATAATAATAATAATAAAAAACAGTTATTTTATGCAGAAAATGTTGAGGTAAGATATAAATAACAGCTTCTTACCGCTGAGACATTTCACTAAATACGCAAATCCAGCTTTGGAAGTAAACTCCAAGTACATGTGTGAGGCAAACTTTGTGGTCCCTCTGCCTGACTGTGCAGACCTGAAGTCACAGTGCTGCTCTCTCTCCCCCTCTCTCTCCCTCTCTCTCTCCCTCTCTCTCTCTCAGCACAAAGACTCCCTCAGTTCTGTCTCTGACTCTTAGGACCCACACAGTTGGGAAATTTGACTCCCTTGAAGGAAAAAAACGTACTCTTTAGACCTTCTTTGTTAACCTGCTGGTTGAGACAATTTCCTTTGATTGATAATAACGTGATGGGCTGTTATTTAAAGTTAAACGCATCTACCAGTGAATCGACTTTCTATGTACAATACTGTTTAGAGTGCTTTCATTCATTGTACCTGCAGGGATATATTTGTATCATTGAAGTGAAAGAAATCCTGTAATGCTTCCTAATGAAAGAGTGACGCAATGACGAAGTCAAAGAACATGGCCGGAGCTTCCTGGTTGTCCTGGGTCAAAGATTTGTTGTTGGTCACCCAGTGATCCTCACTTCCCCCATCCCCTGTTTCATTCTGTACACACTCACCCTGAGAGATCACTTTACTGCCTTTCTCCTATAAAGTAACTTTGTACTGACCTGTGTGTCAGATATAGTTGATGGTAATTCAATAAACACCTACAATATAACAACCAAGGCTTTTCTGTGATACAGGAGGTTTTGGTGCCACCTCAGAGGAAAATAATGATACTAATAATGTGTGTACACTAGCCTCTCCATGGTTCATGGAGAGGCTTCATCATTCAATCAAATAGTTTAATTAAAATGAAAAAAGAACAGGATTCTGCTTAACAATGAGCAGATGTTTGCACCTCTAAAAAGGTACCAATTATGAGATTAACGTGTGCAGCCTTAGGCTAAATGAGACAAAGCCTAATTTCTAAGAAATTAGAAAACAAAGAACATGTTTAATGTTTAAATAAAGAAGACATAGAGGATTTAACCACAGAATTGATATATTAAAAAAGAACAAATCAATATTCGATCAAGTGCAGTAGTTTAAAATAGCAGAGCTTGACCGTTTTAATCTCCTCTTAGACATTCTTTCTCAAGCTAGCAGAATGAAAGGATAACAGGTCAACAAGGTCAAAGGGAATCTGTGGAATAATCATGTCATGATGTTAACACCCCGGCATCACCAGATTCTGGAATGATAATGTCTGTGAGAACAAGAAAAGTTACATTCTTGCTCACTGCATCACCTTATACTGAGAAAATGCCCTTCCTAAGACACTTGTGCTATTTATACTCTTTCTGTCTATCTATATATCTATCTAGACTCCTAGGTAGGAGAAATCTGTTCTTACTGCCTTTCAAGTTTAATAAAGGCCGGTAATGTTTGGGTTAAATTATTCATTTGAGATGGTTGGGTGGGTCCAGGTTGTACAAATTAGCATGTAGTAAAGGTCATAAATTTCTTGTATCAGATGTGCATTTTTTAAACTAATTTTTCCACTCTCAGAAGGTGTCACTCTGCTGTACAATCACAACACACGTTTTCATTCTTTTTCTCAGAGTTTGAATGGCACACAGAGGGCTCTGTCACTTGAATGTAAATCCATATGGGCTTTCGATTGCTTTCCACAAGTATCTGAGAGAAATGTCAAGTTTAATATCGGCGAAAAGGTCTGTTATGCCTTCTAGCTATTTGCTAGCCTTTCCTATCGGATGGCACTGGGCAGGAAGTATATCATGTGTTTTAAGAACTTTTTTCTCCTGAAAACAATAACTCGCTGAGGCAGAAAACGATGCTTAGAAGTGCAGTGAGACAGCTGTAGGAGGGGGTCAATTTTCAATGTTCACTCAACTTGTACAAAAGCTTAATAAACAATGTCTATGCTGAGCGACAGATAGGTGGCATGTCATCTCGTTTTATACAAACAGACACTATTATTAAGTGCCAAAATCAGTATTTGACGTAATATCAGTGAAATATGAATGCACCTTGTTACTCATGCTAGCTAGCAGTAGTATTAGCTGATGACTCAGCAGCTTTTCCTTTTATATTGATTCCCTCAGTTCCAGAAAACCAGCAGGGTGATAACCAAAGACTATTTTTTATCACCAGCTTAAGTCTCTTTTCAGGTACCTTGCAGCTGCCTGGAGTATACTCTACCTCTCATTCAGTCACAGTTGGAATAGACTCCAGCCCAACAGCAGTCCTGATATGGATAAACAGAAGAAAATGATGGAATGAAGTCTAATTTTTCATTTATTATATGTCTCATATGTGGGTTCATTACTGTAGACTGCAGTCCATGTAATCTTAACGAAAAAACGAGATGCTGAAAGTCCAACATTTGCAAAAATAGAATCCTCTGTGAACCCATCGTTTACCCATTTTAGTATTTCATGAGCTTTGGGGATTGTTTCACACACTGACACTTGAGGTCATCGTGGTTTTATGTGGATTGTGGCCAGCAGACAAGACTCTCATTGGGGCAACAATAAAGTGTCAAATTAGGTTAACGGTTCTGAAGGGACAGCCTGCACTTTAAAAGGAGCAAGGGTTATGGACAGCAGACTGCGTAACAGAGTTGTAATTCAGATGGTGATCAGAGCATCAGACTGGGCAGGTCGTTATTGTTGCTCTGTGCGTGCTGACCCAGCTAACCACTCTCTGGGAAAAACAGGAAGCCATTTATCCAGGGCCAAGTTTCCCAACAGCCTTCTTACAGCAGCTCCAAGATGGGCTCTGTTGTTTTGTGAGCCAGTGATGATTTTAGAACTAAATTAATTTTTGGAAACTGAGCCTGAGAGGCTTACGTAAGAGACTCTCAGTACTACTCTCCTCTGGGTCAGACAAGAACTCAATACATCTGGCCAGAGAATATCACCTTGGTCACCACTCAGTTTTTTTTAAACTATATATTTATTGTTTTTTTTTTTCTTCATTTAAACATGAAGTAACACAGACAGGGTCGACGTAAATAAGAAAATATATTAGAAAAAAAAGTTATATCATCGGGGAGAAAATTTTGATATTTGGTTGCCAATTCAGAGTTATATATACACAAAAAGAATATCTTATTAATACAAATGTTATAAAGAAATAACACAGGAGTCTACAGTCATTTCTCTGTGAAAGCATTTCCATTTCTCCCAATATTGTTCATATTTTTCTGAAAATAGTCTCAAAGAGAAGGTTAGTTGTTCCATAGTGTGAATTTCATGTATTATTTCTGTCCAGTCCGAAACATTTGGTGGTTCCTCATTCAGCCATTTGCGTGTAATAGCTTTCTTGCTGGCAGCCAGTATCTGTACCGGTATCTATCCTGTTTCTTTAGTCTGTTTGGTATATTGCCTAAATAAAAAACACAGAAACTCCCTTCAAGCTGGGACCGAATTATCTGCTTAGTGTGTGCAATCACAGCTGACCAGTAGGGAGAGATTTTAGGACATTCCCAAAAGATATGGAAGTGGCCTGCTGAAGTCTATCCACATCTCCTCCAACAGTTCCCTTGGTCAACATTTTTGCTTTGGTGTTCTTTAATCTTAGGTGTAATAAAAAACCTCATAGTGTTCTTCCAAGTGAATTCTCTCCATAGTTCGGAGCTGGAAGTAGTGGCTATAGTTTTACATATATTAGACCAATCTTCTTCTTCAGCTCTATTCCGGCTCTTCTTTCTTCCATCTAAATTCAATATAGGTGGCAGACAATTTCCTTTCTGTTTGTAGTGTTGAGTATATCATAGACATTTTTTTTTAGCACTTTCCCTTTACATATGTTTATAAAGATTTAGACTAAAGACCACCACTCAGTTTGATACAATAATATAAAACTTTGAAGAGGATAAAATATTTACTGTTGGCACGCATTTCAAGTGTTTTGTAACAAAAGGCAGAAATTGAGAGGAGTAGAATGTCATCAGAGACATCACAATGGTCTATATCTGGCTGACTACTACTTTAGTTTCGTTTCCTTTACATACCGTCTTCCTGCTTCCTGCCCTTTGTCTCTGTGTGTTTATAGATATGTTTTATGTGATTGTTATGGGAGGTTCCTTCCAAGTCTTTACAAACACTTCACATTGAGGATAAGCTCATTTTGAGGGTCACAAGCAGTCTAAGCAGAGATTTCAAGTCTTCCCTCCTCCCTCTCGCTAGCCGCTGTCCCCAGGTCCCTACCGAGGCATTCCAGGGCCAGCCGAGCAGCATAATCCCTCCAGTCTGTCTTAGGTTTGGGGTTTCCTGTCAGTAGAATATGTACAAAACACCTCAGCTTTGGAGGCATCAAGAAACCAACCATCTCAATCGGTTCCTTTCACCACAGAGGTGCACAGGCTATTTGACATTTACTGTAGACACAAATTAATTATTGTTGTTGTTTTGCTGTCACACATCATTTTGTCCAGGTCCATATCCATTGTTGTGCCTTGTTTTTCCCCCCCTTTATAGTGTACTGGTACCTTAATGCTTATTACCTTTACCAAAGAAAATTAGCACAGAACATATTGCCATAAATAATCAGACATGACAACTTCATTATTATACAGACTTTAAGTTATATTTGTTTTTTGCTAAATAACATCCTAAAAAGAGATGAATCAGTACTAACCTATGATGAAAACAACAACAACAACAACACTACTATAGAGACTCCATATTGCATCCTTTGCCACTAGCTGTAGTGGCGTCTAAGGAAAGAGCTCACAGACTAACATTATGACAACATACAAAAACTCAGTCAAACTCATCAATAATTAAAATGTCCTGAAACGTTGAAACCAGCAAATCATCTGTATCATTTTCACTCTATTACATCTTCATTATGCTTGGCACATTCCCATCTGTGGCAACAAAAACAGTAATGGCCTAGTGTGTTACGAGCAGCATACGTTTGTTCATGGTCATCAACACATTATTCCACATTTGATATTCTTTCACAATATTGGCTAAAAAACATGTTCAACTCATTTAATCATCCCAAAGTAAAACATTTGTTACAATGAAGTGTCACAACTGGCACGGAAATAAATAATAAAGATCACAAAGGAAATATCATTGAATGTTATTGCCAAACGCAAAAGTATTCCTATAAAAGTCATTGCTGTGATCTTTAGGGTACTCTGTAAAAGGACAGTTTCCACTATATCTGCATGTCCCAGTGAAACCAACGATTGCACTAAAGGCAACAAAAACAAGCTGCAGTTCATGTTTTTTCATCTGGAGGAGTTGGAGTGGTGGAGCCCCTAGTGGTCTGTCTGTAGTCAATCCTCTTCACTTCCAGACTCTGCACTAAGCTGAGGTTGTGCTGTATGCAGAGTCCCTTGTTGTCCAAATGTGGCACTCTTCTCTTCGTCAGTCATCCAGGTTATTGTAATCTAAGGAGGTTGGAAATACTGGACTTCTTAAAAAACAAAGTCTGTTGTCACTGTCCCACCTTAAAGCCTTTGTGTCCAAACATGGTTCCTTTAAAGTACACGTCCAAAAAAATAGGAACCTCTTTGCGCTAGGAGTAGATAGTAATGACCTCCCGACCTCCTCCCCGAACCAACAGTACACGGTCTAGACCTTCCATTAAAACTTCCAGGAACTCCATATCTGAGACACACATTCTGGTTAAGGGGGCTATGCACTACTATTAGACTCAATATGCTTTATTATTTTCTTATCAGGATGAATCAGTAAATGCCACTTCAATATCTTTATTCTAAGTATCGGGTTTTTAGGTCTGACGTCATTAGCAGTTTCCAGGTCCAAACTCCCCTTCAGGTCCCAAAGTCAAACGAACAGTGAAGCATCACTGAGAGCTAAAAACTGTCTAAATTCTTTCATCTTTAATAAAATGATCAGCGTTGCTGCTTTACCAGGTGTAGCAATTAATTTTAACATCCAGGCATCCATGAAAACAGAATTTATTAAATTTAATGGAGTTAGAAGTTAGCAGGAAGTTAGCTCGCTAGTTTCCACCCAAACATGATATAGCATGTTCTGACTGAGAGATTTCTGAAAAAATTAAACGTACAGCTCTGCTGTCACTTCCAACATAAATGAAGACAGAAAAACTAAACAGCAGTGATGTTTGTAGGGTTACTGAAGTTGGGCTAGCTGTTTTATAATGTGCTACATTAGCATAATCTAAACACATTATCACAGTGAAGCTGGAGGATGAACGCTAATGTTTTTCCACTTAATAAAAGTTAACGTGAATGCTCCACAAATGCAATTGCATTTCTTTTAGGGGCTTGTTCAGATTAAATAAAACAAGATACAAAGCATTAAAACATGTTAAAAACACAACAGCCTTAATAAACGCAAAGTAATCTGGACCCGGAAGCTGGGTTCATACGTCGTCACTTAAAGACTGGATAGAACTGCTGTTATAGTTGGATAGCTTAGCTTAACTTAGCTTAGAACTGGGGCAAAGAATTAACATTAAGAATTAACCGGGGTGGCTGTAGCTCAGGTTCGATCCCAGGCTGCCTCCTGGCTGCATGTCAAATATCCTTGGGCAAGATACTAACCCCATGTTTGCCTACTGGTGTTGGTCAGAGGGCCCGGTGGCGCCTTTGTCCGGCAGCCTCGCCTCTGTCAG